AAAGACCACGAGAAAAGACCAAACTTCACCGCTCGTGGATATTTCAATCTTTCATCAGTTTTTTGAAATTTTTGCGTGAAAATCCTTTAGTAACCACCTCTTCAGCAAATGTTGCTTCGAATAACTTATTTTCGTACGTGCAAGCATATCGAATGTATTGAATATTCCCATCCTTAAATAGTTGCTCAGTATGTTTATTGATTGAACCTCTTAGCTTCATCCAAAAAATTCAAAGGTGGAATTCAAGGTATTTTGCAATATTACCCAGGTTATGAAGTTTTGGTTTGAGTCCATTGTTGATTTTTTTTCTTATTTGTTAATGAATTATAATGATGAGTCGACATATTCAATTCTAACTACCAGGTTCCAAATTCTGAAAAAGTTTTTATCTAATGGCCTCCAAGCATCTGGGGGAAAAATTAGCTTTTAATTTTGAGTTTAGATCTCCTCAGCAGGCAACGATTCAATTTTGTGGATAGAGCTTGATAAATTTAAGATCATCTAAAGGCAGGATAATGTAAAGCCAGTGACTTGCGAACCAAGGATTGAGTGTGCTTGTGGAATCCTTCCTTTAACTAATACATTCATAATCACTTTTTTTCTTTGGATTTTGATGTGAAGCATAACTTGCGAACCCCGACTAACTCCCGAAACACTATACGTTTCAAGTATGCCGGCATTCTCGAATTTGTCTAAAGATAATTTTTGCTTTAGAGAGCTTCAAATATATGTTTTATGCAAAAATGAAGGTAAAGACAATTATTCCTAACATTAAATATTAACTAGATTTTGAAATATGTGGCGGCTATATGCGACATTGTTGGCATTATCTTATTACTTTGTTACGGAAATCCCAAATCCAGTTTATTCCAACTAATTGATTTTCCAGAAAACAAATTTACGTGAGAGGGAAAAACCAAGTACGAATTCGTGGCGCCTCATGGGGCTGCCGATTGACGAAAAAGATCAGCGAAAAAGCGAATTAACGGATTAGGCATGAAGCCATGAACATAGGTAATAGTAATATGCTTGCAAAAATGTATATAAAAAGAATATTTGTGGAAGGCACAGTCAGCCGAAAAATAAAATTTGAGTCGAGAAGTTGAGAGTACTGCCGAAATAGATTGTAAATAATCCTACCTTTAGGAAATTGGAACAAAAGATTCTTGAAGTGAAAATATGCAAGTGTATTTCTCTTAAAAGGAAAAATCTTGATCTAGCGATACGAACCGTATCCACTAAAGAATTTCGTAACAATATGTTGTTATACTTGCCAACTGAATTTGATAACTGAATTGTGAACGATTTCAAAGAATTGCATGTCACTTCTGTTTTTTTGTAAGCACAACTTTGCGCTCAGTTCACGAAAGATGCACGGAATTGAAATATAATAGAAGAGGAAGTGAGAGCTATTAACACAGGATGACCGGATATTCTTCTTTCCTTTGTTCTCTTTTGTGTTCCTTTTTCTCTAGTTTGCCCTGTTTCTCTAGAAACAAGTGCAGCGAGACATTATCGGGAAAAGCGCAAATCACATATGCGTTGTTTTCGATACAAAAGTTTTTCGCTACTTTACTTGTAGAGATCTGAGAAGCCTCACTTAAGATATATTCGAATATATTTCCATTTGTCTTTGAATACAGTGATAGCAGTTTGAGTGCAAGCGGTTATGAAACCAATTTCAACCACTTAATCTTCATAATCCATAAAAACTTATGCATGTAATAATAATATATGTTGACAAAACAAATACATATCCATGGAAACGATGTATACTGCAAAGCATTTTGCTGTTGTTGATTTGCTCCGATTACATAAGTACACATGCTTGCACAGATATGTTTAAGCAGTCGCATGTACATATATCAACTCATACACATATGCGTAATGCGCTAAAAGCAATGTATTATGGTAAAATAAAAAAGGAACGCCGTAAAGAAAGACACACTTAACATAACCTAAAAAGAGACGTACAGACGGTAGTAAAATGAAAAATACGTTAATAATAAAATTAATAATAATAATAAAACGTGACAAACTTGTATGCACTTGGCGGGGGATAAATGAATACGGTAGAACACGGTATCAATAATAATTTACTTAGAAAAGTTTTTCTGTTTTCTTTGTAAATGATGTATGGGGATTAACTTTTTCTGTTGTTTATAAAGCTACTGAGCTTAAATGATTAATAATGAAATTTTCGAACGTTAACAGTAAGAAAAAATTACATTCACTCTCAATAACTATACAAAAATGTTAAATAAACAATGAAAAAAAAAAACAAGCAGGGAAATTATATTCTTCTGTGGTCGAATCTTTTGCACCCATCATCCTTATTTAAACAAAAAAAAATTGTAAACCGAAAAAATGAGAAAAAATGCACATACTCTATAACGACGGGCGGCGTGATCAATTTTCCACTCTACATATGGAAACTTTTATCGTTGTATCTCTTGTCATTAATAAGTAACGAGCAAAAAACAAACTCTTTTTGCTTATGAAAGCAGAGATGTTCCCATTACACGTCGCATCAGTTCACGTCGAGATCGATTCAGAATTTGATACTAATTAAGAATGCGTATGCTTTGTAGGTTTCTGAAGCTTTTTCCTGGGTTTTACAAACCTTTAGAAAAAATGAATATATCCCAAACCTTCTTAAAAATGATAACTTTTAAATAATGTATTTACTGACGCCTGTAAGTATTGCATTGTTGTTGTAAAGAAATTGTTGCAAAAAGTTAATTTTTTGCTCATTCATTTTGCTCAACCTTATTGAAGCTGTTTGTCTTGAAATGCATTTTTCTCAAGGCAACTGACTTTCTTATAAAAATGTTAATTTTAAATATTGAATATGAGTTAACAACGACTAAAAATAAAACAATAAAATAAACTTAAATTCGAGAAATGTCACGTATAAAAACTTACATTTTTCATATTATCACTTGGGTATCTTCAAAAAATTTTTATTATAAAATAAAAAATTGAAATGTGTTCAATTTCAATGAGATCTTGATATTTGTCGCTACATTGTTTGTTGATCATTCTTAACAATTTGAGCTAATGTTAGATCTCTATTAGATATCTATTAGGCTTTTGGCAACACATTAAAGACCATATTTGCCGTCGGCAAGACTTTCAAAGATTACTTTACTATTCTCAGCGTTGGCAAAGAAAAAACAGTTAAATTCCTTATATATTTCTTAAGTTCTAAGCAAGGCATCTTTTGAATACTCATCTCTTACATATGTAAAAGAATGTTGGCTAGTATTAACTACGGATGCGCCATTGGACCGATCAAAAGATTTTCGCCCTAAACCGAATTTCCATTGCATGGAAATCATTTTGCATTTTGTACTATACAGATACAAATAGGCCGGGGTAGATCGTTTGCACTTCGAATAGTCGAAAGTGTAACAAATAAACGCATCGTAATTTCGGTAAGGTATTAATAAGAACAAGAAAAGAACATTCGGCCGGGATCGAATTTTTTTTGCCCGTCACCGTTATTCCAAAAAAACACCCAAAAAGTATAAGAAAAAAAAATCGTTCTCCGTAATATGAGGTAAGCGCAAATCTTCGATTTTCAAAACAAAAGTTTTTGTCGTAACGATACGCGGGCATTATACGCTTGTCCCCTGAAAAATTTAGTTCAATTCCAAATTCTTCTGCAAATTTGTAGGCGATATCTTCATTTTCGATAACGGGAGAATGTTTACAACAGACATTGCGCAGACGTTTAGGCGGACATGCTTAAATCGATTAAGAATTTGATGCTGGTTAAGAATACATAAACTTTATGGGGTCCCTGTGTTTTCCTTTGGGCATTGCAAACGTTTTGACAATGTGAATATACATCTCATCCTTCGGTGATCGGTATAAAAAGTTTTAATTTTTATTGTTTGAAATTTGTCACCTTCCCACTCTTTGCTAGAAATGTCGCCAGTTAAGACGAACATGTCAATACAGATATATTAATGTTAATACAGATATATTAATGGGCCGATTAGCATCGTTTTCATTATATACATTACAGGTTTTACAAAAGATAAAGCAATAAATATATGCATTTGCAATAATTGAAAAGTTGATGAAGTCCAAAAAAGCAGCTTATATTAAAGGCTAGTAATCACGACAATCCGCAATAGAGGGAGAGAAATAACAGTTCTTGCTGATATTATAGTTTTACAACTTTCTGGGAACTGAGAAGCAAATTTATTCAAAAACTAAATTCATATATAATATATACTAGAAGGGAATTCTAGAAGAGGCTAGCAAATGTCCATTCTTGTTTGAAACTTATCGGTATTACAAAGAAGATTTTTTCTGACGACAAATATTAAATTAAAATGACACTATCATTGGCAACTTTAACTTTTATTCTGGTCGTAGAAAAAATTCGTGCTCCCTTAGTTCAAAATAATCTATGCTATAAGACCTTAAATGCAGACCTTACATGGTCTAGTATACTTTTGAAAACTTCCCTTTTTGATTATGTGCAATTAGCGAGACATTTTAAAAAAATTACTACACAATATTTCAGTCTACATTTTTTTTTTTTTTTTTGAAGAATTATACCTTTTTAGGAGGTTTAACTATTTTTGTGCCACACAAGGATGAACCTACTCAAGAAGTTAAATTAACTGACCTTAAGTCTCACGGTTATTAGGATTCTGCGAAATTTTTATTTATCTTTTGGATAATATTTGAAATTTTGAAAGACAGAAAGAGGGAAAAAGCAACTTAATATGTCACAGTTTCTCTTCCCTTGCATTTATGGTCTCTTCTCTTTAGCTCTACAAAAGTGGTAAAAACTATATATCAATAATTTCTAGTAGACCTATCGTAATGAAAAAAACATCAAAAAATTGTGTTCAAATGAATAAAAATTTCTTAAGATTTTTGAATATTATGTCATTATTTTATAGACTGTGTACTATTATTATCTCATACTCTATGCATATGTTTTCGCATACTTTTATTTGAGTTATTCTTGTACTTACCCCAACTAGCTCCTGTCCGTCCCAGACACTGGCTTGTATCACTGTTCCATAGGAATTTCTTAAAACCCTCCCACTTGCCCATCTTTGGTGGGGGCGCATAATATTGTTCAGCAATCTTTTTATCAGCCATTTTTATATATGTTTCCTTTTTTTGTTACTTTTTATGTTTTATAAAGTTTTTACTTTTTATGAAGGGTGATGTTGATAGTTTCTTAATTAAAAAAAAAATTTAACTTAAACTATATTTTAAGCTTATTTATTGTTTCAATTTGGTTGCTTCTTTGTATAGCTTAAGGTATTAAAATATTCTGTGTATAATAATGAATTATTTTTTATTTTGTTTTTAACTTTATTGATTATATATTAAGCTTTTATTTTGTGTAAATTTAAGTAAACGTTTGAAAAGTTTTTTCATACAATTTCATAATCAACTGCGTTGAAACAACATATTTATTGTTTTTTTCTTTCTGCTTTCCTTTTATGTATTTAAATTTTTTTTATATGCTTCTTAAATTTCAATATTTTCAAAGACTGTAGAGATTACACCTAAAGAAGAAAAAGATAAAGAGAAAAAAATAAAAAATGTTAGACTAAAGCGAGCTAAAGCTTAAGAAATTTTGTCATAAAGCAAACATATGACATAGCAAAAAATTATTTAAAAAAATAATTTATATTTTGTTATAAACGGAAATATTCAGTTTTTCCTTTTGGTATTTCTATTTTTTTTTACTGCTTCTCTTTATATCACTAAGTCTTTAAGCTTCTGAATTATTTTGATTTTTTTAATATATATAATATATTATATTTTATTACTTATCAGCTCTTAATTTTTTTCAAGAACTAATGTTTTTCTTTAATAATTTAAAAAATATTTTTTATTACAATTTTCACTTAACTTTTCTTCAACTGGCCTACAACATCAGTTATGTAACCGTACATGAACCGAAAAGAAAATTTTGCAAGTTTTTTTCTTCACATTTGGCGTGAAAAGAAAAATGAAACGAAAACCTTATAGTTTTTTTTGTTCATGTATTGGTCCGAAGGTAAAGTTCTAAAACTATCTGCTAAATATTAAGGAAAAGAGTAATAGTAAAAATATATAAATATGCGATACAGGAAGAGAAGCTTAATTTGAAAGCTTATCGCGACAGCAAAAACTCGCATGAAGAGAACCAAGATAAGAGCGAACTTAAGAGAAAGACCAAAACTGTATGAGAAGTCGTGGAATGGAGGAAGAAAGCGAAATAAAAGAGAGATAAGAAGAAAAAATATATTTTTGATAAGGATTTGTGATGATTCAATATTTTTTTACTCTCTCAAGAAAGTTCTGAGAGTAAAGAAGTTTTTAATATTTTTATACGTGACACCACCTGTAGTACAGGGTACGAACGTACGTAACACAAAAAAGGGCTTACGATAGGCCCACCACCACCATTCATTTCTTAATCAATCTAGCCCTGTCTGTCCAAGTCTGTCCAAGTAGGGAAAAAAATTGCAATACGCAAAATTGCTTGACAAAACTGGCTCTGCAATAGTCCTTGGACATTCAAAACTGGTACAAAAAATTTGTTTTGGCTAGGGCAATTTTTTGAATCCTCTCCCATACAACGGTTCCTACGAAAACTGAATCTAAATAGTAAATGGGTATCATTTTTAATATTTTATGTTGACAATTAGTTCTTAATAATATATTCATATTGAAATCAACTTTACTAAATTTTTACCATGTAGGTCTATTTTTTGGATACCAACCCACATAAAGATTCATTCAATATGCTGGTTTTCATGAAAAGTATCCCAAAACGAGTGAATAACCGTATTAGCTGAAGTAGTGTAAGACATCTCCTAGTCGGCCTTGCCCGACTATAATGTTCTTACTTGTTATACTTATAATCGAACTCTAAAGCAGTTTTTTAGTGTTGCACTTCCATTAAATAAATAGCACGGAAACATAATCCAGAAATTACGGAAGGCTCTCGTCTGTGCATGCGACAAGCAATGTCAGCGCTCAGAGAAGACTAGAATTGAGAACTTAGTTCGAATTATGGAAACCGACAAACCCCATTAAATTTTTTCAAAACTTTGTAGGAAAAATTTTTAATATTATAAATTTACTTATAAAAACAACTTTAAAATTATTTATAAAGAAAGGAAGTAAGACAATTTAATTTAAAGCATTTAGATATTAACATAGCGTTTAATATAACTTATATTGTTATCGTCTAAATTAGCGAAACCGAACCATGTCTAAACAGAAATTGCAATTAGTTGTGCTAAATGTTCATGATAAATTTCAAACCGATATAAGAAAATAAATAAAAATTGCTCATTGCTGATCGAATATATGGAAATCGTAAACTTTTCTATTAAATCTGGATGTTTCACTTATATGGGCAACACCACAAAGACGTCCCAAGTCACAAATCGTGTGTTGCTTTATAAAAACAATTGATAAAGGAGGGACTAATTGTTGGACGTATCATACCTGATATAAAGTCACAAAAACTATGGCAAGGAATCACTGTCAAAACCCATTCCCTGGCCAGAACGTCAAAGTATGGGTGTTAACACAAAAGAACGCGTCTATCGACTGAATGTGCAACGCTGCCAGCGGTGAAACATTAAACTAAAGAACGATTTTTCCGAGCAGCCTTGTTTGCTTCATTTGTGTTTTTACCCTGAAGCTTGTCTGTGTGAAGCACGAAAGTAAGCAAATTCCATGCCAGGTTACTGTCTGATGAATAGGAGAAAAAAATCAATCGTTTTTGGATCAGCATGATGCCGAATGTGATCATTTATTAGGGTAATAATTATCGAGGAGACTTGGGCCCGTCGTGTCTTAGGCGAATAACGGTTTTCAGGCTGGCTAGTGCATGTTAGCATGTCGGATACACATCTTAAACGAGCAAAGCTGGGCTTACCTTTCGTATAAAAAAAATCGAAACAATAAAACCTGCTGATGTGGGCATAAGAATTATATTTATGATGAGTTCCTGTAAAGCATAATTTTGAGGTATTTGAACAAGTTCTAAAATTGTTTTACATTTTATTCTATGGGATTAGTCTTTAGTTGATACTTGTTTGTGCGTAAGCGTATCACTTATACTTTATTTATCAAATGCCAGCAAAAATTTAAAGCTTTAACTTTCGGTATAAATTTCAGAGATTTTAACATAAGTCAAAGGATATAAACGCAATCACACACCATTTGGCAACTATTACATCGTATTATATATCGCGGCACATCTGAGTATGAGGGAAGGTATTGGAAAAACTAATAAATAGCTATGAGTTTGTCGAATTTAGGTTGCGTGGGTTAAGTTTCGAGTTTCAATATCAGCTTTTCTAATTTCGAACATTGAAAAATGTAATGAATTTACTATATCGAATCAAAATCTTACATTTTCGAAGTGGCGCTGTTATTATAGCGATTATTTTCGATTTTTTATTTTTTTCGTGTTTTATAACATTTAAAAGAAACTATTATTATACTGGACCAATGGACAAAAAAGCTTATGTCAGCACTCCTGGTAATAAGATCGCATTTGATAGTACGCTAACATTAGTTCAGACATTTTAAAGAGAAGCCTTTTAAGAAGACGATAGAAAAGGAGAGAGGGAACGAAAGTGGATGAGGAGAAAGCTTCCACGGACTTCTCATCCGAAAAGTCAAAGGTTCACTAACAAAAAAATATTTCATTGATAACGGCACAAGAGCTCTAAACAGTTTTCATATTTTAAGACTGATTTCCTATTCACTTTATACGATCGTTTGTTATCCGCAGGCAAATACGAATTAATTTCACTTATTGTCAAGCAACGTATTGTGAAAACAATGTTAGAAGTAAAAGTTGTAAGAAAAGAAAATTAAAAACGCATTTGAAGTCGTATGTGAAATTTACATTGTTTCTTCTTCTACTTTCGAAATCACTTTAAATTTAAAAAAAAAGGCTCAAAAACCGAAGCTTAAATTGAGCAGGCAGATCACTGCTTAATAAATAATATATTGATTTTAAAAATCTTCGATATTGAAATAATACTAAAAATTGATTAATCACCTTAAGCAAAAAGTTGCGTAACACAAAAATCGGAGATTGTTGGTTAGACACTATATGTAAGTTCTTCTCAACTTAATAATCCATCAATTTTAATGAATAGCTTTGTTCCAACAAAAATTGAAGAGTGACAAATGACGCCACATACAAATTTAATCAAAGAGACAGACAAAACATACATTCAGGCTGAGGCATCAAAGTCTGTCATTTATTAAAAAATCCCAAAATGTATATACATTTATATAATTTTTTATATATTTGTATGTCATCTGGACAGAAGAGAAAAAGCATTTGTGCTTTTTTTCATTTTCGCTTTCTAATTTTAGAGCAAGTAGTGAAATAAAGAGCGAAGGAATTAAGAGATTCCGATTTCAAAAATACAGTTAATTGTGAAGAGATAAAATAAAAGAAAGAGGAATTTAACTGCCATTATAAAATCAAGTAATGAAAATAAGTCCTTGTACGCACACATACATGTGCGCGGAACACGTATTGAACACACCTATACACTTAAGCGTACACATTCTTAGTACCCAGCAATCAACGATGTATAACAAATCGTACAAATTACTCGTCTACAACGAGAAAACTTAGTTTATATATATGAAATGAAATTTTGTGGGACACCAAGGTAGGCAAGACGAAAAGAAAAACAAAAGACTGTAAAATCGGCTAGTTCTTGAGCAAAACTGAAACAAATGGAACAAATTTTACAAAATCACATAAGTAAGTTACAAAATATTTTGAAATATTTTTTCAACGTCACGAAAACAAAAACGAAATATATTAAGAATGCAAGTAGAATAGAAATTAGAAAAAAACTCTTTTTCGAAACATTTTCACAACGTTACACAATTGATTTTTCAACAAAGAAAAAAAGTTAAATTTTTTTTTATTTCATTATGTTTCATAAATTTAATCCCTTAGACGATTTTCTTCCATTTTTTTAACTCAAGGTTCCTTTCATAAAATACGAGAAAGTTAATTTTTCAAATTGATAAAACGATCAAATAGTTTTTGTATGTGTATTCAGAAGTATTACAAGGATACATTTTTTCTGTTTGCAATTCCGGCACCAGAAAAAGAACACATTCACTAAAAATTGTTAAGCTTAATTCTCTGTATAAATTAAGCTTTCGTTTCTTGACAAATTATTGAATTATTTAAAATTAAAAAGTCTCTAAATTTCTTCATCTCATTTGTAATAAAAAAGTCCTTTTGCCGTAGTATTATACAATATTCTTTTTGGTGTTTTTCTTTCTTTTTCTTATACTTTTTTGTATAATAATCCGAATATTCGAAGTGCTACCGTCATCCACAGTTGAAACACCAATGATAGAGTCTTTGCTGCAACTGAAAGAGAAATTTTTCGTTGCCTAAGTTAACAGCTAACAGCAAAATGAACACATTTGCACATGCATACCCTCTCGCACGTATACACTGCTTTTTGTTCTAAATAATCTGGAAGTATTGTATTAATTGCTAAGTATGCAAGAAAGTGCTCCGTATTTGCCATTAGAGGCTTATGCGCGTTTGTTTATTTAATGTTCAGAGCTCTTCATGAAAATCTCAAATAAAAAAAATTCTATTTACTGTACATACGCATATATAATAGTATAGTAGTAAAGAGGGTTGTTTGCACTGATGTGAGCGGTGCATATGAAAAATATTCTATATTCATAAAAGCTCATCGAATAATTTAGTACACAATACAACAAGTATTGGAACTCTAAGCTTTTTATTTCAGGTGTTTCGCATATTATGAAATAATTTAAATAGAGGTAAAAACAAATATTTAAGAATTTTATACATAAAGCAAAAGAATCATCTCGTTCCGCGCTGCACATGCAAATAAATGTCGATAACCGTGTAAAATATATGCGTTATTTTTCAGCGTAAGAATGCTTTGTCGCTTTAACCGAGCTCGTCCAGCTTACGGCTCGCTTAGGACTCGCTGCCTCGTTACGTAGCTTCTTAGTAAAAGGGCAGACTTCGCGGTCGTTCTTTTCCTCTAGTCTCAAATTGCGGACGGCGTTGTTTTGGTATTAGAAAACTTTGGAGCAATTTTCTATTTTGTCCTAGTATTATAGCAAATATTTTTATGACATCAATATTATCAGCCGTCAACAGAGTAACTATTTTCTTCGACATTTCATTCGGAAAATTCTTGAGTTTCGTTATAGGCATTTATGGTGTTCTAGGCAGTATAATTCGGCAGATAATTAGCAATATGTAAACCCTTTACTGCTGTTTTAATTTTTATTGCTATTATTCTCATATAAGGTCAATTTATTATTAAAGGCGAAATGCATTATGTAAATATACAAGTACTTTATAAATGCAAACAAATCATTTTACCAGTAAAATATTTGTGCAACAAGAACAAGCATCTTACACCAAGTAAATGAAGAAGAACAAGCATCCTACACCAAGAAAATGAACAAGAACAAGCATCCTACACCAAGAAATTGAACAAGAAACCTGTAAAATGTTTCCAAACGACGCATAAATAAAATAAAGTGTGTTTAGATTAGCTATGAAAACCTCGTGTTTCACTATATCAAATCTCGAAAGAATCTTCATCATACTTTCAACTAAAAAGAAATAAAAAACAATCTTGTTAGCATCCAACTCATGAAAAGAGTATTTTAATTACTTGATGTCAAGGAAACATGCACAAACAATTGATCTTCAGTGATTTGCTTTGGTAACCATTATCTTGAGAGAAATCGAGTAACCCGAAATCATGCTATCGAACATCAAAGACTTAACTCTTGACGGCATCTATTCACGTTGAAGTCTTAAACACATATGTTCGTTTCTTATGTTATAGTCGGCTCAAAAGTAGAATGATCAGAACGTGGCGCATGTCCGCAAAAGAGTTTTTCAAACTATGCAAGCTAACACACATATAACCCGGTTCGCGCGACATTTTTGCGCATGGAAGTAATATTTTGTGTTCATGTAATGTTTGTGCGTGTTATAAATAGGATTGCTACGACCATAGCACGGAACCGCCTATTTGAAAAAAGTCTGTATATGATTCAAAATTGCACCTTTTAAAGTTTCATTCTAAAAATCGATAAAAAATAACATTTTGATATATAAAATGTATGTGAAAAATTTGGCCCGGATAAGATTATATTGTTAATGTCTCTCACGTAAATGCTCCGAAGAAAAGTAATTCTTAAATCAAAAAGAATAGTTTGTAATACTCTCTGATGAAAATTCATTGATGCATTAAAATTAATTGTATCAAATGTGGATCACTTTATTGCAGAGATAAGTAAACAAAAATAAGATCATTGAGTAAAAAGTTAAATTTGGTAAGTGTGGATCACGTCGCGTCATGTTTATACATAAAAATTGTGCTATCGCTCGAAAAGTTTAGGAAAAATATATTCTAGGGGGGTATAGACAGCAAAAGATCTGTTTACTCAGTTTCAAATAGTTTATAGTCGTTTTATTTTTGAAAACCCTGTTTACGTTAATAGTTTGTTAAATTACCTAACATTTACACATAATGTGAAATTTATTGAAAATTTAACTGAGTACATGTTAAGGTAAACTTATTTTTAAATATTTTTTGTTAAGTTTTTCACTTTAAAACCTCTGGCCAATGAATGAAATCTGTCAATATTTCCAAAGTCTTCCAATTATTTATTTTAAACTCCTGTCTTCTTAGCATCTGTTTTGCCTTTCTCTTTTTTTAAAAGATTTTATAATGTTTTTACTTAAAGTAGTACTAAAAAATCTGAGAAAATTCCGCCTCCCTTAAAGAGAAAAATTTGAACAGAGACATAAGATTAAGCGACAGACTTTGGGATAAAAAGCGTAAAGTAGAAAATAACAATAAGGGATTAGATGGAAAGAAAATTGAAAGAATATCTTTAAAAAATGTAACAGTCTAGATGTAGGAAAAACTCACCCTTTCCTTTGTCAAGCAAAAGATTATTTTAAATTATACGGGGCTTGATGTTTTCTACGCAAAAACTTGAAAATTTCTACACATATATAGTTGTGTATTGGGAACACTTATCAGCGCAAGCTCATAAATAAGCAAGTAAAAGATGGCGCAGAATAAAGAAATCGCTCAGATAAATTCGATACAAAAGATGAACATAAGCAAAGAGAGGAAGAAGAAAAACGAAAAAAGTCAGTGAAAAAGGAACGAACAACGAAAAATATGTAAGGTATGAAAAAGAAAAATAAGGTCGTAATGGATTAAAAAAGCAAAAGCTTAGACGATGCCTTATAGGCCAATTACGTTTATTATTATGTTTATAATATAACATAAGTGCGCATAGTAAGACGAAGAAAATGACAACTGTTAAAATTCATCATAGATTCGAATTTTAATAACAGAAATTATAAAAAAATAAAATCTTTGAAGCTTTTAAGTAGTATTTTACTAATTTGAGCAAAAACCAATCAAAACTTTCAGCATGTAAATAATTTTTTTGCTCTTTTATTTCATCTTTCCTCTCTGTTGCTTCTTTCTTGCTCTTCATATTCTCCATTCTTTGGCACTTAGTTATAGTCATAATAAGTACTTCATGTGGAGTATAGCGTCGACTATAAGGCTTACGTCATTCCTCAGCTGTTATCTAAGAGTTGTTAGTTGTTAGTTAAGTTATACAACACCCCCATAATCACGAAGCGTAGGCCGTGTTTTCCACTCTTAACGAATATACATTTAAGAAAAAAGTCTTAACAATCAAAATCAAGTTTTTTTTTTCTCTTCTTTCTTTCTTTTGGTTTTTTTTATAAATTTTATATATAAAAGTTGTTAACGCATGTTCATACTATATATGATAGCGTTATTCACATTTTATTCATACAGATGCATATCGTATATGGCAGTCGTTGTGTTTGCTTTTTTCATTTTGATTTGTCGTCTCTTAAGTTAAATAATCTCCGCAAGCTGAAGGACGTTTTATATACTACTAGTACACCTCTGTACTATCTCGTAGATATATTTGCACATACACTCGCACGAGTACTTATATGTTGGGAGATGCATTGCAACCACTTACTCACTTTTTGAAAAGAAAACTAAAAACTTTACAACACCATTCTTTGTATTATATGTGTGATATTTGCTTTGCAATTTAACTTAAGGTTATACTCTTGTTGTAGGTATTTATATTAGTGAACGATTTTTTATTTGTCATTGTATAAGCGCTTGCATTTCGCTACAGGGTAGACGTCTTATTTACTTTTGCAGCTTTTTCAAATACTGTGTGATAATAAAATCGCAGCAGTTGTTTTATTGTCTTATTATCACTGGAAGGTGCCCATTTCCGGGATACAACTTACATGAGATAAATATCAGACTATATGTTACGTGATGCTACCTCACATTTCTACAATGTCGTCTTCTGTAAGCAGATGTGATATTATGCTATCAATTTCAGGAGAGTTTGTTAGAAATTATTTACATTTATTACAATTATTTACAAAAGTCATATCTGTTCCTTTTTTCAGAGGTCTTCTTTTGCATTCAGTCATGGAAAAGGATTGAGTAACTTTTAATTTTTTAGAGAGTTAACACTTCTAATAGCACCAAGAATGGGTATCGTTACGTTTCGAGGTCTTGACTATACCGAACCTAGATTATCAATTTAAATACAGTATCTACACTTCGTACGCCTTTTAATTCCATCATTTCGCTAATGTGTCATTTTAGTTCTTCAATTGAAAAACAAACGCGAATGAGTAAAAAAATAAACAAGTAAGAAAGTTATATTCAGCGGGGGCCGAATGCCGCTTACCAACCATTAACCACTAATCCACTACTTCGGGGTGTTTACCATATTCATTTCAGAATTAACCCATTTTTAGGCAAATGATATATCTTTATTTGAGGAATGTACAAAATAGTTTGACACACTCTACCTTGTTTGCCTTATAATAACTAAGCATCAAACTTCAGGAAACTAATCAATTAATCAATTGAGAATTTCATTTTGATCAAGAATATATATGCTTGATAGGGTCTCTGAAATACCCTTTTGAGTGTTGCATACGTTATGGAAAAAAAAAATGAGTATATCCTTCAGTGCTGAATCCAAGAAAAGCTGTACAACTTAGAAAAGGAAAAAAGACAAATGAAAAATGCGCAGCGTTCGCTAAAGAAGTGCAGTTCGTCATCGAACTATACTATACTATGTGGTTAAATTTATTTATATATATATATATACTATAATAAAATTTAAATCAAATTTTGTTA